CCATCAGACCTCTGGGCCTGTCCCCCCCCAAATGCCCCCCACTCCCATCAGACCTCTGGGCCTGTCCCATCCCGTTTCCCTCCCACCCCACATCAGACCCTGGATCTCCCCCATCCTGGATTAGACCCCGGGTGCCATCCTACCCTGCCCCCCCCTTACCCAGTGGCCTGGGGCCCCCCAGAGCCCCTAGCTCTGCAGGAGGATCTCCCTGGGGATGTGCTGGCTTGTGGGGAGAAAGAGATGGATTCTGGCCCTGGATGACGCCCCCAGCCCTGCCCCCTTCCACCAGCTGACACCAGCTGGGACATCTCCCAGCACTGCCCCTGCCTGACTGTGAAGACCCTGTCCAGGGATGCGGCTGGAGGCCGTGGGGGTGGCTCAGTTAATTACAGGATGAGGCAGAGGCCTGTGAGAGCTGGCTGGGCCCAGGACAGGACATCCTGCCCTGTCTCTCCCCCATTGCCCATCAGAACCCCAGGGCCTGTTCCACCCCACTTCCGAGAGCTCAGCACCTGCCCCACTGCTCAGGTCTCAGCTGCAGGAGAATCCCCCACAGCCAGGAGCAGTACAAGGGCTATGACCCACAGAGGGGCGGCAGGGATGCACATGTGGCATCATACCTTGGGTGGCTCCAGGCCCTGCTTGTGACCCGCGACTGCCGCTGCTAGCTCTGGGGGCAGGGAGAGCAAACCAGCCCCTCAGTGGCTGTATGTGCATCCTGCGCCCTCTGCACCTCGACCCCCTTCCCGCCCTGTGCTGGGCTTGGGCAGGAGCAAGCCAGCCACAGGGCCCTGGAGCGCAGCACCCAAGTGTCTAGGCTGAGTGCCAGGAGAACCCAGGCTGGGGCTGCCCTAGGACCCAGCTAATGGGCCCCGGACTTAGGCTGGGGCATTTCAGGCCTCAAGAGACTCAAGTGCTGTGGGGCAAGGCAGACGGGCGGGACCCAGCTGCCCAGCCCATCCATGCCCCCCCACACTCTCCTCCGGCCCAACCCATCTGATTGGGGGCATCCCTGTCCCAGCCCAAGCCTGGCAACCCGCCTACCAGCCTGGCAGCCGGAAGGGGATGGGGGGCAGGACATGCTGGGGGAGGGCCACAGGGGCCCAAGCCCGAACAGCCGGCAGGCGGGGGCACTGGGCTGCAGCTGCTCCCAGCCAGGCTCCCGGGGCACCCCTGCAGGTGCCTTGCTACACCGCAGGGAGCCCAGCAAGGGCAAGAGCAGGCTGGGGGTGTACCCCCTAAACCCTCAGCCCCCGCCCTTACTCCTGAACCCCCTGCATTCCTAGCCTCCGCCCTTACTCCTGAACCCCCTAAACCCTCAGCCCCCGCCCTTACTCCTGAACCCCCTGCATTCCTAGCCTCCGCCCTTACTCCTGAACCCCCTAAACCCTCAGCCCCCGCCCTTACTCCTGAACCCCCTGCATTCCTAGCCTCCGCCCTTACTCCTGAACCCCCTAAACCCTCAGCCCCCGCCCTTACTCCTGAACCCCCTGCATTCCTAGCCTCCGCCCTTACTCCTGAACCCCCTAAACCCTCAGCCCCCGCCCTTACTCCTGAACCCCCTGCATTCCTAGCCTCCGCCCTTACTCCTGAACCCCCTAAACCCTCAGCCCCCGCCCTTACTCCTGAACCCCCTGCATTCCTAGCCTCCGCCCTTACTCCTGAACCCCCTAAACCCTCAGCCCCCGCCCTTACTCCTGAACCCCCTGCATTCCTAGCCTCCGCCCTTACTCCTGAACCCCCTAAACCCTCAGCCCCCGCCCTTACTCCTGAACCCCCTGCATTCCTAGCCTCCGCCCTTACTCCTGAACCCCCTAAACCCTCAGCCCCCGCCCTTACTCCTGAACCCCCTGCATTCCTAGCCTCCGCCCTTACTCCTGAACCCCCTAAACCCTCAGCCCCCGCCCTTACTCCTGAACCCCCTGCATTCCTAGCCTCCGCCCTTACTCCTGAACCCCCTAAACCCTCAGCCCCCGCCCTTACTCCTGAACCCCCTGCATTCCTAGCCTCCGCCCTTACTCCTGAACCCCCTAAACCCTCAGCCCCCGCCCTTACTCCTGAACCCCCTGCATTCCTAGCCTCCGCCCTTACTCCTGAACCCCCTAAACCCTCAGCCCCCGCCCTTACTCCTGAACCCCCTGCATTCCTAGCCTCCGCCCTTACTCCTGAACCCCCTAAACCCTCAGCCCCCGCCCTTACTCCTGAACCCCCTGCATTCCTAGCCTCCGCCCTTACTCCTGAACCCCCTAAACCCTCAGCCCCCGCCCTTACTCCTGAACCCCCTGCATTCCTAGCCTCCGCCCTTACTCCTGAACCCCCTAAACCCTCAGCCCCCGCCCTTACTCCTGAACCCCCTGCATTCCTAGCCTCCGCCCTTACTCCTGAACCCCCTAAACCCTCAGCCCCCGCCCTTACTCCTGAACCCCCTGCATTCCTAGCCTCC